CTTTTGTGATGTGGGGACGAGGAGAGGGCGTCGTCCACGTCTATTTAAAGTTATTTATTCCCTGCAGTTTGGGTTTGGATAACTCATATTTAGAAGGCTTGTCGAACTAAATAAATGCATCCTTTTATCTGTTGGGGTAATAGAAAGCCAGTCTAGGATGTACAGAGATTAGAGGTAACTACTCATGCTACTCTGAAGGTTTCTGAACATCCAACTGTTCACATTCAGGCAATTTGTTTCGACAATCAAATGCCTGGTGCATGAAAGTTGCACTTTGCTTTCTGAAACCGTTTTCCCCCTTTCAGAACGCATCTTGGCCTTACCAAGTTGGTAAGGGGCAGTTGACTTCACACAACTTTCTGTCCATTCCTCATCTTCTACGTGTCAATCAAAAACGATCGCGTGCCCTTATTCTTGCAACGGGACGGAGACAGGAACCGAAGTCTTTGGATGAAGAATATCACAACTTTTGATGGCTGCCATGGCTTCATGCACGGAAAAGTTCCTTTTCTAGAGCCAACGATATCATGAAGCGGAAAGTTGGGCTTGGATTTCTCTTTCAAAGTTTTCCAACAGTACAGTTTAGATTCATTTTCTACATCTAGCATACAAGTAGACCACTACGTGAAATCTTTGTGAAATTAACAAAGATTTCATCAAGAGAGATTTTAGAAAACCGGTTAACAGTGATACTAAATAGTACTCCCGCTGTCCCATAAGATTCTGCGTGTTGGTTTCTATGAAAGTCAAACTTCACAAAGTTTGAGCAAGTTTATAGAAAAAAATATCAAATTTCATGATGAATCTAGAAATATTGATTTAGTAATCTATATGTTCATTAATTTTTCTATGAAACTTGGTCAAATTTTACATTGACTTTAATAATAATACACACTAACTTTTTAGATTAAATATGCACTATATTTTTGGCCGGAGGGAGTACATAACAGGCTATATTGCGTGTGCTTGCAAATATTTGCGCAAAAAATTGACATTTTGGAATGCAAAATATCAAGAGAACAAGAATTAGAATACCATCTTTTTTTCAAACAGGAGGTTAAACCCCCATCCTTTGCATCATTGTGATGCACACATCTATTCTTATTAAATATTAAGCAAACTTACAGGATATGACATGAAGACCTATGACTTAGTCGATTTCTTCCGCAGCAACGCCTTTAAGAAGGGATCAACGTCCTCACACAATTGTCTCCTTGTCCAAGCAGAGACAGCCTGTCGATAGGTGATCATCGAGAGCAAAGACCAGTGAGATCTCCTAGATTGTTCGGCCCAGGGTTAAAACACTCCAATCACTTTAGACACAGACACAATTTACAGAGGTTCAAGTCGTCGCGCGAGGTGTAACACCTTACTCCTTGTTTCATGTGTGTTTTGTTGTATATCGAGAGCTCTCCTGCATACAACAGGCACATTGAACTCTTAAACCTTCTCTCCATCACCTTTTCTCGGACGACCTTTCGTATTTCCTTATATAGCTCGGAAGAAGAACCACCCCCCTGACCTATGTGACCGACTAGGATGGGGTGGCATCCTTTGCACATCGCCCACGCGGGGGTCCATCACGCTGCCACTGGGTGGATAGTGGTAGGCAGAGGACTCCCATGTCGCCACGTTGTTGTACCCCTACAATACCTCCTAGGCTTCCGTTGTTAGCGGAATGGAGTGGGTAGGGGCTCGCCTTCCTGGGCCATAGCCTAAGTCAAACATGCCCATCCTTAGACATCCTATCCGGCTCATGGCTAGCCCGGTCATGCGAGCTGATGTAAAGGTCAGACCACCCTTGTCATCATTGTTCTTCTAGGTACGGGCCACACCGTGGCCACCACGTAAGCTGGCCAAATAAATATATCGGCCACCCCGGAAAGCCAACCCTGCCCCACCAAGCACCTGTACCCAAATGGTGAGTGAGGGCTCACCACATAACCCCCGTCTCCCAGGGAGGGACAGTGGTGTCAAAAGCACTCGGGGACTCTGCCGTCAGATGACTCCACGAACACCAGATTCATAGTGCCTCTTTGTAGCGCCTACTAACGCACGTTGCCGGAGATGGGGATGAACCGTATTGCTTTATCCGGGGGACCCCGTTTTCCGTATCACGGACAGTAGCCCCCGGCCTTGCCTGCTGGCAGTGATTCCGAGGAGACACACCATATGGGTGGGCCGAAAACCCTTTAACGGGTCATCGTCAAACCGTGGGCAGAGAAACCGGGTCGTCACCCTCGACCAAGACGTTGCCTTGTCCCAAAGCGGAATTATGAGGCTCAGTCCCATCGGCCAATCACGCAAGCAATGAGAGGTGAGCCTGACCATTAAACGTGAGGCCGTCGCTCCCGCCTTCCCGCCTATAAAGAGCGAGGCTCCATGCTCTCCGACCGTAGCCGAAGCCTCTTCCGCCCGCGAGGTCACTTCAAAAAGGAGGAAGAGCCCATAACACACATTCTAGTAGGGGATCACAATTATGGTTGTTCAAATCCTAGTTGTAATCCATGTTGAAATCTAGTACGAAAACCTTCCATTGTTGAGGTGGAGAAGCAAGAGGTCTTGCAGCCAATGATAAACAGGTCTCATAGGAGATTTCTTTTTTAAGCTACATGTATGGGATTCTGAGCATGCGCATCGCTTTGGCAGCCTTCAAATGCATATGAAGCGCCCTCCATAATTTTTACGAAGGCTGCCAATATGAAGACTCTGCTAGAGTTGTTCTTAGCATGTGCATGCATCGTACGTTCACGACAGCCACAGATGAACTAATAGTGGTTCTAATAATACATGTGCCGACGTATGCAACCAATAGTGGTTCTAATAATACATGTGCCGACGTATGTGGTCGTTAATTCTACTTGTTAGGCTGTGTTCGGCAATCCTCTGCTCCTTCATAGGGGAGTGAAGCACGCGGAAGCACCCTATTGGCCACTCCTCAAAATTATACTGTATGCTGCTCCGCTCAGCAGGGGAGTTATGGAGCGGAGGGATTCCAAACGCAGCCTTAATATGGCGCCCCCCTCCAACTTGAGGTGTGGATATTTTGAATTGATGATTGCAAGATGATTGAACTGATTAGGCCTTGTACAATGGGAGGTGCTTAGGGGAGGTGCTTAGAGAAATAAACCAAGCTTTTCTTAAGCACCGGTGCTTCAGAAAAACCCGATTTATTTTTCTAAGCTTACATGGCTATTTCTTGCTGATCCACTCCCTCCCTTCTTTTACAGGGCGTGTATAGCGTATCTCCTGGCTTCACAGCTCTACAACTCCAAGCTTGTTTTATCTAACCATTTCTCCTCGCTTTTTTTGTGCGGTTTCCTGATTGCCTTTTTTTTTTCTCTTAGGTCCACCATAAAGATTTTTTTTTATCTCGCTAGTAGCACGAATCCATGTGTATTGCTCTGTTCTGATTGTAGGATGTTGCTATCATACCACACAAAGCAACTGATAAAAAAATAGACTGTTGGCACCAGAAGTGCTCAAAGGCGTTGCAGTGGCTCCCCCGGTTGCATTGTCTCCTCCCCCGGACGGAAGGGCAAAGTAAATGTTGATGCTAGCTCCGTAGCAAAGATGAGGTGGTGCAAAACTGTAGAGGCGAAGTGTTGCTAGTAGCGGCTGTTCCGGGTGGTACGAGTCAAAGTGGCTGAGCGCTTGGCATGCGTTGAAGGGACAAAAGACTGCCTTCTGAACGTGCTGGCATGCATTGCATCCTGGAGCCGAACTGTTCCAATGTCGCCCGCTCGTTGATCCAATGCAGTGAGATTAGGTCATAGATCGCCAGTACCGAGAAGTCTGGAGGCCATCTTCACGCTTCAGAGATGTTCGCTTCCAACACGTCCAAAGGGGGGGCTCATGGGTTAGCTAAATCAGAAATATGTCGTGCGAATAGGTCGATTTTGATCTTGTATGCACCTCCCCTGATTTTTCAGCTCCTTTTGAAGGATTGTAAGCATATTCCAACCAATTAATGTGAGCCCTTTGATTCGAAAAAGAAAAAAGCTCAAAGCTAATACCTAACCTTTGACTCACAACGCCCAATTATTAGACTTCGGATCACAATCATGGAAACGACGCCTCCCATTTCTAGTCTAGCTCCATCATGTGCTATTTTTTACTTAAAACCCCACCACGAATTCAGCTCAGGACGAATGGACCATCAGTACTATGTTAGGAGAGCATCAAATCATTATCATGTATATATAATTAGCACAAATACAGGCTTGGTATAATTATGTCAGCACAGATTTGTTTTTCGAACTTGGCACAAATTTGTTTTTAGTAGACTGCATAATTGTGAAGTGAAGTTCTTACTACAAAACTGTATATATACACACTTATTAAAGAAACAATAATTCAACCATTTGAGTTATATATCATCCCGCTCTTTGAAAAACCGAATCTCTGTGCAAACAAGGACAATGGTGGACAGATACACCTAAATCCAATAAATACTTCAGATATGCAAGCCATGGAGTAAAAATAATACAATAAGTAGGCCAAATAAATAAGCCAAGGATAGGAAGTCTTTCATATGTGAATGAAGGTAAAATATTGCTATCTTTATTTCACCTTTTTGTTTCACAAAATACACCAAAGACTATTGAAGAAAACCAAGAATGAAAACTACATACGTACAAAATTGCCTACAATTATAGACAGGTTTGGATGTGTGAGTGCTCACGAGGTTTCTGCAATCAAAGAATAGAATATAGTTAGACATGGCATTTTACATTGTGTGTAGTAGCATTTGTGCAGTAAAATACTGAATATATCTGAATATTGGAATGTTGCAAAAAAATCATGAGTGGATTGCATTTTATTCACATGTGAACTTGTCAACTATAGTATGATCTAAATACTTTCCCTAAAACTACTCACAATGCCATGATCAAAACCAATGAAACCATCGAAAAGAGCATATATCTAAAAATGGAAAACATAACACAGTGAGATGATCAAAAACAATAATGGAGTAAAACCAACACTTAAGGCACAGTTCAGAACAGAAATCTATGGTGAGGATTAAACATGAAATTATTATTTACAGATAAATATGTGTGAAACCAATTATTTAGCAGTAGAAACTTACCCTTCATCCTTCTGGTGTCTATAGTTGTTTCTGCTATTGATCTGCGGGAGACATCTGCCAAAGATATAGGTGTTAGTGGGGGCGAGGAAACTTCGCTGCTCTCTCTGCTATGCCTAGACTCCAACAACTTATTCACAGTAATAATAGGTGTTCTTTGGCTGTTTGAAGGTATAGAATAGCTGCGAGTCATGGCAGCAGGTGGCCGTGGAAGCGGTGATGCTGTATTTGACGGTGGGGAGGCACGGGTTGGTACGTTAGGAATTTGCCGCCTTGATACCAAAGGACCAGAATATCCAACCAAACCAGGCCGGAGAGTGTCTAAAGGTGCAGGAGGCCTAGGCAGCTCATGAAGCTCACTAATTCTGGGGGATGTTGTTGGCAGTGAAGTTATCCTAGGGACTTTTGGAGCCACAGATGGAAGAGAACCTGGTCCGTGTGATTTTGTTGACATAACACGAGGAGGATAATTTACTGATGCTCTGTGACCAGCAGCTGAAAACAAGGGTTTGCTTAACCCTGCTTTACTAGGAATTGGGCCAGAAAAAGATTCCCTCTTCATTTTCTTGGAATCTGAAGTGGAGTAGGAATAAACTAATGGTGATGATCTCCTCTCAGTACTTGATGGCATCTTAACAGGCCCGCTATACAAGGAGCTCGGCATATAATCTTTCACGAGCGGAGAGGAATGCCACAAATTTGCTGCCACATGTGAACTCTCTGGTTTATCTGAATGAGGTGATCTGTTGGTGCCTGCTGAAGTGCAGATTTTATCATCAGCTGGTGTCGGGAGTTTGTAGGAATAATTTGTTCTACTTGACTGTAGTGGGCTCGAGAACATTGGAGAATTCAACTTGCGAAGCCTCACAGATGGATCAAGCACATTATCAGCAAAAATTGGTGCTGATTGAGTACCAAACTCAGGCTTCACTCGAGGAGCTGCAAAATCAGTCTCTATTTGTTTGGCATGTTCCTGTAAGTGAACAAACGGCAATTAAAAGAACTTCAGGACACACTCAAAATGCTGCACCGTCAGACTTAAATAACGAGAGCGGGAGTATAAAAATAGTAAAAAAAAAACAAGGGCTGGAACAAGTGAAGGAAGCAAGGACCATACACAAATCCCAATCTGATTATCACACTGTTATTTAAACCTTATATAGAAAGGAAGTTCAGATTAGTGTGCTTCATCAAGTGATATTTTACGGAGTGTTAATAGTTCCCGGTATAGGCACACACCACTGACAAAAGAAAAATGACGGCAATCTGTAGGCTAGAATGGATGATGACAGTTTGCTTCAAGCAGGTGATCTATATAGAAAATTGTGAAGAGTCTATATCAGAAATATTTATCACCAGTAAAAACTGAACGTCACTTCAACCAAAATATCAATGCCCCAAAACTCTCATATCCAAAAGAAGGGAAAAAGAACTGATACAGCAGTTAACTTGATATGGAAACAGGTCCACTTCAGGTTAACCTAGACTACCATGTGGCAGCACATACCATGGCTACACGTTTCCTTAAGAGAATGCTTGTAACCAGCTTGTAACTCGTTGACCATGGGAATGGCAAGGGTAGCATGATTAGAAGTTCAAGGATTACCTGCTCATGTTCCTTCAGAGGTTTCGTGGGACTTGCCATATTAGACTGATCCAACTACAGACAAAACAAATGATGTTTAGAACTTAAAGGATAATAAAGAAAGGAGATAAGACAGGTATTTTAATATTCTTTAGTTAAAACATGGGAATGGAAAGTCTGGGTGAGCACTGTGATGCATCTGCCCAGGAATGGAATTGAGCTGTGCTGCCGTATAGATTCGGGGTCACCAAGCCCAGGTATGTGGGATGACACATAAAAGGAGCACAAGAACGTTAGCTAGAAAGGACAGAGCAGATCGGAAGTATCGTGTTCCTCTCATTTGGTTCCTCTGCTCCGTATCTCTGATTCTGCTCTCCCGCAAATTCACCTCAGTTATCCCCAATTTACTACCAAATATCAATGCAATTTGTAACCAGCTTTGGTGGACCATAACAGCAAAGTTTTTCAAAGTAAAATAGATAACTCGTTGATATTTAGCGCGAAAGTAGTGTTTAATTTGCTGAAAGTTGCCAGGAGAAAAGAAAAATCAACCAAAACACGAGCCTAGGGCTGTAGTAACACAAAACTACAACCCTGGTATTTTTAACTGATACTCTAGACTCAAGGGGAAGGGGAGCCTTGGCGCAGTGGTAAAGCTGCTGCCTTGTGACCATGAGGTCATGGGTTCAAGTCCTGGAAACAGCCTCTTACAGAAATGTAGGGAAAGGCTGCGTACTATAGACACAAAGTGGTCGGACCCTTCCCTGGACCCTGCGCAAGCGGGAGCTACATGCACCAGGTTGCCCTTTTTTTACTCTAGACTCAAGGGGCAAGCAGTAAGAAAAAACCATAATCATCTCAATTAGTCTGTTAAAGCGAACTCTAATAGACTAATAGACAGGGCGGCATGGCATTGACTACGGCAGTTGTTCGGCACATTTTCGGCTTCAGCCGGTAGGTGAGCTCATCTCACCGAGCTCTTCTGAGAAAAATTCATACTTTTCAGAAAAGATCTGAAAAAGATAGTAATTCAATCCAGTTTCCTGAGCATTCTAGAAAAAATTCAGCATACTTTGCCCAGCTATAAATTCGAAAAAATACCCAAAAATCTGAAGAAAAAAATCACCACAAAAATACCAAAAAACTGAAAAAAAAAACCTAGTAATTCAATCTACGTTCTCTGAGTGTTCTGGCAAATTTTGAGCACATTTGACCAACCATTTGGAAGTTTGGACATATTTTGTAACTTCCGGCAAAAATAGAACCAGCTCAGCTTCGGTTCGGCTCGAGCCGAGCTCAACTAATGGCTCAAGCCAAAAGTGAGCCAAGCCAGTGCCTTAGTCTGTCACATGTGGGTGCCGCCTGCCAGTTTTCTCTTCAGCTAACTAATCAAGAGTTCAACATGATTATGAGTTCTTTGTAGTTATTACTTACCCCCAGAGTCTGGAGTATCAGTTCGAAACCCCTAGAGTTATAGTTCTGCGTTATTAGCCCCTAGAGTTGTGTCTTCCAGCAATTTACTCTTTCTAATTAGAAGAAACAATCCATGAGCACAATACAGTGAGGCCAACCCTCAACCGCAAGCAAACTGAGGCCTAGCAACACTCCATTCTAGAATATAAAAACAAGTTTTCATATTCATTGCACTGCACTCATGAATGCCACCAGAGACCAGAGTCCAGGCAGCATATGCTGAATTGGCTTACGAATGAGTACCAACTTATTTGGGCTTCAGTCCTATCCTCGCCTAAAATGTTTAACGTGGTGTTATTATATTTGGAACCTCAACTAATATATGTTTCTACTGTGCACTTTAAACTCTCATGTGGAAACCCCAGCACTATCATACTTTGAGCATACATACAGGCCACCACCACTACTGCTCTAGAGCGATACACGTCTAACCATACAGTTACCAGCCTATTCTTAGATCCAGTTTTTCAAAAGTTCTGGGATGGTAGTTCTTTGGCTCATTTGGCCATGGTAACCAAAAATGGTCTAGAAAACAGGAATTAGGGAAAGCCAAGAACTGACTTTCGGATTAAAATTAGCATCAACAGGAAGCACTCTGAAAACCAATTAACTTCACAACAGTTACCGGTTAAAATTTAACAAAACGAAATGAATATCAGAAGCATAGTTTCTCCTGATGTTTGTTTGTTACCATTAGATGCAATCCTCATGAACCTTTTTTTTCTTAAAAGATCAAGTGGCAGGCCCATCTAATTCCTCCTAAGTATTCTTTTATTATGTGGGGAAGATTACAGAAGAACACAGGCTATACCAGTAAAAATTCACATTGCTGCGGCATGCAATTCACATGTTGCGACAGAAGTTCAGCAGGCTAGGGAGCTGAGCAGAGGCAGGAGTTGGTCCTTGAGGCGGCTCAGAGCTGGAGCCCATAGATTACAAAAGACATAGTTGTAATCAGCAAGCAGAAGTCCTAGTTGGTTTCTTAGTCTAAACAGGCATGCCACTTTAAAACATGGGCACTGTATGAAGAGAGACGACTGTAATCTTTTGTTCTGAAGCAATACGAATTTTGCTCCTCATCCCTCTTCTCCCCTCCCACCCCATTATCCAATTGTATGCTGCTCTCCAGCATCACAGAATCAAAACCTCATGTTAGGAAGCTGGCCAAGGGGAGTGCCACGACTACTAACTGACACTGAAGAAACCTAAACTGAGTAGACTATGCGGTCACAAAAAACTTGAGTATTGACCAGCACAGATAAATCTTCGCGAAGTGCTCATATTAGGAGATACTGGATACTGATATAACACTAAGGGGTACAAAGTGAGACTCGATGAAGTCTTTAGTAGATGAGTCAAATAACGATTGAATGGACGAGTTGGGAAAAGGTTAGCTTACATCCATTGAACTTCTGGAAGCAGGAAAGTTTATCCCGTAGTCAAAACTCAACTCACTGCCCTCACTATGATTGTCCTGGTAAGAGCTGTAATCATCATTATCAGTGTCATCATCTAGTCCACTGAAGTGATAATCAATGTGCTGCTTCTCAGCAACTGCTTTTACATGAGGTTCTAGAGCCTCTAGATACTTCAACCCTTTCCTGAAAAAACTCAACTGAAAGTTCAAACAATTATGAGATGGTTATAGTGTATACCACCGTATGAGCCATATTAAATTATTAATAGTTCCTGTGAAGAAGAGTTAAAGTACCTGAGCAGCATGATGGCGAGCAGCCTGTGTTAAAATACTCAAGAATTGACCTTGCTTCAATGATTTCAAGCGAAATATGAATAATGTTGCATCTTCTTGGTACTCGAGATAGGACGCTTGCAATTGTTCTGGGGAGAATGTTTCAGTTTTGGGATGCCTTGATCGTCCTTTATCTTTATAGGCTGACCGCATGGTTTCATATTCCTCTCTGAAGCCAAAAAAAAAACATTTTTTAGAACTTGGAGAGAGGAAAGGTAAATGTCATAAATTCAAGGTAAAGTTTGTACCTTTTCTGATCACAGTGGTCCTTCATGTCCTGCATCAGTAAGAATGAAAGAGACAGCGTGTCATGGTTTCACAAATTGAAGTATAAAAGGAATTCAATTAGTTAGTTAGTATTCAGAAATGATGAAATTACTGCACGAACACTAAATTGGAATGACATTACGAAATGTGAAGGTAGCAACTAATTGTATTAATTAAGTTGAGACAACCATAGTCAAAAAGATCAAACCTCTACAACTTGTAGCTCCTTGAGAAGAGACTCTGAAGGGTTTGTGATTGTATTTATGATATTTGTACGCTGAAAAAAATAACAATTACAGGACAGAGTATTACAGTACAACGAAGATGACAGTATGGCAACTCTAAGACTGTTTCAGTTCAATGTTACTAAGGTAGAAAGAAAATTTACATAGTTATCCACAAACTTTTGTAGTTCAAATTGAGCCTTTCCTAGCATCATCAGCACCCTGCCTGCAGGTAAAAGACCACATGAATAACGCAAGAGGACCAAATACTTCTATGACTAAGGAAGTAGATCTCCAAAACAAACAACACAAGAATTTCGCTCTCGATATTCACTGAAATCTGACTATCACCTTGTTCCATAAGGAAACGAATGGACAGATCTAGAATAATCACATGCATAGAAAAAGTAGCATCAGGGGTATTTGTTTTTCATGAAGGATCTGGTAATTTTGACGAAGAAAAAAAAACAGTAACATGAAACATAACAGAGTTAGCTTTATTAATCAAGAAATGTCCTTTGCTGCAAAGACTGCTAAGAATAAATCCAGGAATGCAAGTTTCCAGATAATATGTGCTTATAAATTCAGATGACTCACCACTGTCATCATCATCGCAATCCAATGCAGTTTTCTCAAGTAAGCAAGTTCCCATTTCTTCCATAGCTTCTGCAAACTCTGTGTACATTTGATCACAATGAATTATGAAAGTACTACAATACGAGCACACACTCTCTATTAGACGTTACTTGGGCACCGTTGTCTCGTTAAAAATTACTACATCAAAGAAATGCTATAGCATACCATATACACTATTTGTTGTTGCAGCTGCAGCCGAAAGCAAGCTATCATAACAAGTTCTCATTTCCTCCATCTCCTGCAAAATAAGAACCTCACATAAGTTGGGTTACAAAAACGTATTTTCATCAGATTGATAATCTTTGCAGCTGTCAGTGACAGGTGAACTGTGAGCATTAACAAATAGCAGGAAAAACCATTCTGACAGGAATTTGGCAGTCTGGATCCATTAGATCACGTTGTACAAAAGCTAAGGTTTGGCCCACCTCATATAGATATTTGAAGTTTTGATCCTACAAGGGCAATAGCAAATAGTACATCGTCAACAGCTTTGAGATTCACTGCTTGCTAGTAACATGCCCCATCTGCAAGTCACAAATGGCAGTGGTAGCCTTCTAGCGAAACGAACCAGTATGCAAAAGCAAACCATACTACATTTAACATTGGCATGCTTAAATCTTCTCCTTCATTATCGCCGCGTGCAAAAGCGTCAACTTTTTATTCTTATCCCAAAACATCAAAAGGAAAAGCTAAATGAAATAAAAGACTTCTTACAGATTAATCAGAGCACTGCACTCATCCACGGTACTGCTCTACAAATGTAGCCATGACTAAAATCCCTGTAGTCCCTTTCAAGCATCTATCAACACCTCAATCACTTTCATCTAAGTTGGACTGACTACATTGCTGTTGAAATGGAAGATGCCGGTATGACTCAGCAATCAGTACTCCCTAAATATAAAAGATTTTCTGATATTAATCTTGAACATATATAAAATCAGCAGCAAGCACTAACATATTTCGATATATAACAATCATCAGCCAAGTTTATCGCATATAAAAAATTATTCCACTAATGACTTTGAATTGCTGACCCGAGACTCGTTCCAGATAGCACCTTTCTCCACTAAAAGTTTCCTGCCGTAGACTTTGACCAGCAGAGCCAAGCCACAAATATCAAACGCGTGTAACAGCCAGAATAACACATAAAACAATCAGCTCTCACAAATTTCACATATTATAGAAATATAAAAATATCGTTACAGCAGTCGCATAGAACTCTTGCTTTGTTCATCCTCACGCGTAGAAGAAGAAAGGCAGACGAAGAGAAAAAAAAAACGATCTCTCTATCCCTCGCTGGAGTTTGATTCCCTTCGATCTCACATAATCGCTACGAGCAAAAACAATTCACCGCAGCCAACAACAAGGACCGATATACACACAAAAACAAAATAGAAACAGCCCGGCAATACCGCTAACTTCTCGATCGGCCAAGCCCCTTGCGATCCAATTTAAGGGCGTATTCCAAACCAGCAGCGCGTAATGATTCCAGGAAAAGAAATCGTAGTCAGAGTAGGGAGTCGGCGAAACCTGGGCGGCGTCGACGAGGTTGTCGAGCTTGGCGGGCGGCGGCCGTTGGTCCTTCTTCTCCTTGTGGTGGTGGGGGAGGGCGAGGCCCCGAAACTTGCGCAATGGCGATTTCATCGTCGAATCCAGAAACTATGGCCAATTCGTGCTCCGGCGATGATTCGAAGAGGGGAGAGGAGGGAGAAAGAGGAGGTTTGTTTCTTGTTTGACAGGATGGATTTCGGAAGACCAGAAATGGAGGAGGGAGAATACGATGTCTTCCTTTATGGAGATGCTACTGGTGTTTTGGGAACGGAAAATAATTGTAAACAATTCGGTCCATGTTTGACCTGACGCAACCAGTTTGACCAGAAAAACGAGAATATCCCCTCGCTCAATAAATGGGAAGATGAGAACAAACTGTAAAACAATGGGCCACGCTAGGCCGATTACCGCGTGCCTCCGTTTGCCTTAATTCTTCTCCCAAAAATCACATTTATTTCAAAAAAAATCTTAGTAAATTTTGAAAAACATGAAAAAAAATTAGAAACTAACATTGGGCACTGGATCAATATGTTATCCCAAAAATAATATAAATTGTTGTCAAAAGTATGTGAAATTATAGAATATTGGTATGAAACAATAAAAAATTAGGACAATTACATTTGTGTCATTGATTGAAATCCACTACACAGATTTGCCCATAATTTCAAAGCATGCTTAAATTTGTCCCTCTGTCGTTAGTTTCCATTATAGAAATGCCCTTCTGCGCCGTTACCGTCCGGTCAAAGAGCTTTGACCATCTTGAAAAACTAGCAAAAAAATAAAAAAAAATCTAAATTTCTGTGAGATCAAATATACTTAGATGCGTGCAATTCTTCGTGCTATTTAGACATACCAGGAGCTTGTAGTAAAGGAAAACAATAAATCTGTACGTCTTTGAATAGTAAATTCAAAAACATATAAAAATTTTGGCATCCAAAAGGCTCGGGTGCGCAAAGTGTGTGCAAAATTTTGTTATCAAATGACATGCGAGGAGGTCTAGCAAAAAGAAACGGAAATAGTGCATTATTTAAAAGTTTTTCCTGAGGCAAGTTATTTTTCTCCACGAGCTCCTACAATGTCGAAACACAACAAAATTTGGCACACATCTTGCGCACCCACGCATCTTGGATGCCAAAAAAATCATATGTTTTTTATTTTTCTTGCTATTTTTTTGTATTTATTGTTCACATGCGTACATATTTACTGTTTTTCCTTTGCGAGCTCCTATAATATCCAAACAGCATGAAAATTTGCACGCACCTAGGTACCTTCGGTCCAATAAAATTTCAGGGTTTTTTTTTATTTTTTTTTTTGCTATTTTTTCGTGATGGTCAAAGCTCTTTGACCGGACGGTAACGTCGCAGAAGGGCATTTCTATAAGGGCTACTAAAGGCAGAGGGGAAAAATTGAGCATGCTTTGAAATTAGGGGCAAATCTGAGTAGTGGTGTGACGCCCCCGATTCAATCGTACACTAATCATGCACGCAAACGTGTACGATCAAGATCAGGAACTCACGGGAAGATATCACAACACAATTCTAAAAACATAAATAAGTCATACAAGCATCATATTACAAGCCAGGGGCCTCGAGGGCTCGAATACAAGTGCTCGATCATAGACGAGTCAGCGGAAGCAACAATATCTGAGTACAGACATAAGTTAAACAAGTTGCCATAAGATGGCTAGCACAAACTGGGATACAGATCGAAAGAGGCGCATGCCTCCTGCCTGGGATCCTCCTAACTACTCCTAGTCGTCGTCAGCGGCCTGCACGTAGTAGTAGGCACCTCCAGAGTAGTAGTCGTCGTCCACGGTGGCGTCTGGGTCCTGGGCTCCAACGTCTGGTTGCGGCATCCGAGAAGAAGAGGAAAACGGGGGAAAAGAGGGAGCAAAGCAACCGTGAGTACTCATCCAAAGTACTCGCAAGCAAGGAGCTACACTACATATGCATGGGTATATGTGTAAGGAGGCAATATGAGTGGACTGAACTGCAGAATGCCAGAATAAGAGGGGGATAACTAGTCCTATCGAAGACTATGCTTCTGGCAGCCTCCATCTTGCAGCATGTAGAAGAGAGTAGATTGAAGTCCTCCAAGTAGCATTGCATAGCATAATACTACCCGGCGATCCTCCCCTTGTCGCCCTATGGAAAAGCGATCACCAGGTTGTCTGTGGAACTTGTCTGGGTGTGTTTTATTAAGTATCCGGTTCTAGTTTTCATAAGGCCAAGGTACAACTCCGGGTCGTCCTTTTACCGAGGGACACGGCTATTCGAATAGATAAACTTCCCTGCAGGGGTGCACCACATAACCCAACACGCTCGATCCCATTTGGCCGGACACACTTTCCTGGGTCATGCCCGGCCTCGGAAGATCAACACGTCGCAGCCCCACCTAGGCACAACAGAGAGGTCAGCACGCCGGTCTAAATCCTATGCGCGCAGGGGTCTGGGTCCATCGGCCATTGCACACCTGCACGTTGCGTGGGCGGCCGGTGAGCAGACCTAGCAATCTCCATTACAAAGGAAGTTGCATTAACACAGTCCAACCCGGCGCGCGCCGCTCAGTCGCTGACGTCACAAAGGCTTCGGCTGATACCACGACCTCGAGTGCCCATATCTTTCCCACGTAGTTGGTTAGTGCGTATAGGCCAGTGGCCAGACTCAAATCAAATACCAAGATCTCGTTAAGCGTGTTATTATGAAGTAACCGCGGACACCGACCAGGGCTAGGCCCACCTCTCGCCTAGGTGGTCTCAACCTGCCCTATCGCTCCGCCACAAAGTAACAGTCGGGGGCCGTCGGGAACCCAGGCCCACCTCTACCGGGATGGAGCCACCTGTCCTTCCAGCCCCCACATCGGAATCACTTGCGGGTACTCAACGAGCTGACCCGACTTTAGTCACCATCTGTATAGTATGTATATATGTATAGTATATACCCGTGATCACCTCCGAAGTGATCATGGTCCGATAGTATAGCAAGGCAGACTGACAAGAATGTAGGGCCAATGATGATAAACTAGCATCCTATACTAAACAATTAGGATTGCGGGTAAGGTATCAATGACTGTAGCAACAATGACAGGCTATGCATCAAAATAGGATTAATCGAAACAGTAACATGCTACACTACTCTAATGCAAGTAGTAGAGAGTAGAATAGGCGATATCTACTGATCAAAGGGGGGCTTGCCTGGTTGCTCTGGCAAGACGGAGGGGTCGTCAACTCCGTAGTCGAATTGGGGTCGCCGGCAGTCTCGGGGTCTACCAGAAAGAAGTAACGGAGGGGGAACACAATAAATAACATAGCAATCAAAGCATCAGAAAGCGAGACACGGCAATACGCGGTGCTAGAGGTGACCTAAGGCAGCAGGAGGTGATACTGGTGAAGGGGGGAAACATCCAGGAAAGTATCCCCGGTGTTCCGCGTTTTCGGACAGATGAACCGGAGGAAGAAAGTTGCGTGTTTGCTATGCTAGGGATGTGTGGCGGACGAACGGGCTACGTATCCGGATTCGTCTCGTCGTTCTGAGCAACTTTCATGTAGAAAGTATTTTCATCTGAGCTACGGTTTATTTTCTATGGTTTTCTAAAGTCTTAATCATTTTCTGGAATTTATTTATCTAATTTAAATCAACATTATCCAGAATAGTATGGGATGATGTCAACATGACGTATGTGTGATGTCAGCAGTCAACAGTGCGGTTGACCTGGTCACCTGACAGGAGGGTCCCACCTATTAGGGACTGTTTAGCTAATTAACAGTAGTTAATTAGGTTAACTAGTTATTAGGTTAATTAATCTTAATTATTTAATTTAAACAGAATTAATTAAGTTAATTATTTAGTTAATTAATTAATTGATTGATATTTCTATTTATTATTATTATTATTAATTCCTTTTTTTAACGTTTTAGGGGATGACCCCACATGTCATAGGCCAGGGGGCCATAGCGGGTGTGGGCTAACGGGTTAACGGGCGAGCCCCGATGGGCACCCGAGCGGGCGTTGCGGTCAGAGAGAGAAGGGGGCGGGCACGCGGTGCGACACCGGCGAACGGAGAGGCAGGGTTGTGGTGTGAGGGTCGGGTGAGGTGAACGGGACAGCGCGGGAGCCGGGTTGGCGTGGCGCGGCGGCTCCGACGAGCGGTGGCGAGGGGACGAGGTCCAACAGGGCAACAACAGAAGTAGTCGCAGCAGCTAGGAGCAGAGGGCACGGCGGGGCTTAGTGACCGCGGGCGTGGCCGGACCCCATCGAGGGGCGCGGTGGCCGCGGTGATAGAGAGGAAAGGGGGACGAGAAGTAGGGGAGGCGAAGGCCGGGGGCCTCACCAACATTGCAGGGAAGAGGCGGCGAGGCCTGGGGTAGGCCGGCAACAAGGAGATGAGGGGGTCCGATGGGGAGGTCCGGCGACGGCGAGGCCTTCAGGCGGCGAGGGAGGAGCTTCTGCGTGGCGGCGGCACGAGGACGACGATAGGCAGAGGATTCCCGGGCGCGGGGGCGACAACTATGGTGGGGCTCCGGCGCGGCAGGGGGTGGGGATGGTGCGCAGGGGCGACGGCGGTGTCGGGGACCGAGGGCGACGGGCGGCATTGGGGACTGGTTGCCAGCCCCCGATCCAGATCGGGGGGGGAAGGCAGAGGGGGAAAGTGGGGGCGAGTGGAGTTGAGTGGGAGGTTAGGGTTTCACCGGGGGGTCGAGGTGGCCTAGTAGGGCGCCGAGGTGGGCCGGCCTGGCTGGGACATGGCCCAGTTGGGCCGGGGGCTGCTGGTTCTTTCTTTTTTTATTTTTGTTTGGTTTCTTTTTATCTTTTCATAATTTTCTTTTCTGTTTCTTTTAATAATTAATTTATTTTAGTTTTTGTAAAATTTAATTTCAACACCTAAATTAGTATTTAGGAATACAACACTGTCACATTAATTTGGACAGCTAAATAAAATAGTTTAATATTTTATTAATTTGAAAAAGGTATTAAATTAAATGTTTTGCCGCTGCTTTAATTACCTTAGTGCATCTAAACACTTTACAAAAATGTGGTTTCTGCATCAATATCATTTATGATTTATTTTCTACAACTTGAACATTTTAGTTTTAG